CGACCGCACCGCCTCGGCAGTCTCGCCCCTGTAGGAGCTGCTCTCGGTGGCTGGAAGGGGAATTGGAATTAATTTCCAGCCAGTGGCTGCCCCACAAAGCTGGTCCCTCCAAAAGGCAGGTAGTTCAAGCCCGCACTGGGAAAAGGAGCCGCAGAGCCTGGTGGCTTGGTCCCAGGGTTGTGCAGCCGATGGAGCGATGCTGGGGATACAGCAGCGTCGGGTCTGGGGCTGCTGGGTTTACGGGCACCGCAGGTCTGCCCTGCACCAGCAGCTGTGCTCCCCTGCTACAAACACCACTCAATTTACTCCATCCGTAGAGACTACGACGCTAGGTCAGTGTACGAGATGCTCCATATAATGTATAATATTCCAGTAATGTCAAAGCAATCTGCTTGGGAGCTCCCGCTCCCCTCCCCAGCCCCTGCGCAGCCCAGTGGACGCCCTGAGGGGATTTCTTCTTCAATAGCTAAGTTCACATGCCAGCAGCACACGCTGCTGGGTACCAGCGGGAAGGAGCCGGGGAGCCTGTTCTTCACGGTGGCGGGCGAGGCCGGCTCGGCTCCAGGCAGAGCTGGCTCCTCCGGTGAGATGCTGAAGATGGCAGCATGCAACGGCAAAAGCCAACCAGCCAGCAGCAAACCTCCCTGAAAAGAAAAATCATGAGTTTATAGATTTTTCTTGCTATAGGCCAGGAGCAAAAATAACCAAACCCGAAAGCTCGCCAACTCCAGCCTTACAAACCCTGAGAAAAGCTGTGCGTGTGCCTGGGCTCGTGGGGAAGGGCAGGGCTTGGTGCAACTCATTCACGCACACAAAAGCCACGCACGGAGCTCGTGCCGATGTCCACCTTCCTACCCCGAAGTGGACCTCCTTTGGGTACACTCTCTGCTTGGAGTATTCCGTCCACCCAGCTCTCTGAGGCTCGGCTCTGGACCGCGCCGGAGCAGCTCCCGGTCAAGCCGGCTGCTCCCTGCCTTGCCCAGGGCTCACCGGCAGTGATTTGGGGCGATGTGAAGCTCCCCGAAAGGGAGACCCAGGGGTAGAGCCCTGCCTCCCGCCCGGCAGACAGACGGACAGACAGACACAGAGCCACCACGGCCGGAGAGCTGCTTCCTGCCGCGGCTCCTCATGGGCGAGCCAGGGTGACAAGCAGCGATGTTCCTGGGCCATAAAGCCATCAGGGAGGCAATTAGGCACCTAACGAGCAGCATCCGTGTCATGCCTGCCAGGCCAGCGTGGAAAATGGCCGTGCTGCAAGATTTATGGAGAATATGGTTTGGGCTTGGGATTGGCTGTGTTTATGGTTCTTTTCCCCACGGTGTTAAGTTAAAACCTGGGAGATCTGCACTGTTGGATGGGAAATGTTTCATTTCGGAAAGAATGAGTTTCAGTTCTGAGCTGCTAAAAGGCACGTTTGGGTTTTGAAAGAGAAAAAGAATAGGAATGAAGACACTTTGGAGAGTAGAAATGAAAAAAAGAAAAAATAGTCCCTTCAGATGCGTATTTCTAAACGAATACTGCACCAGAGCTGACATACTTGTTTTTTCTTTCTGTTGTTCCCAGAACAAAGTGCTCTCCCTATCGATAAACTCCTACGGGACTCAGGAAGAGAAACCACCCAGCACCCTGTGGAAGTGGCCGCAAAGCTGTACAGAAGCCCAGCGCGCTCAAAGGAGCATCCGTCCTAGGGTGCCGGGATGTGGCGGGCACTGGGGGGACCCTGCGACCGCCACAGGCGCAGCGAGGAGCGAGGGTACGCGCAGGGTTTGAACCCCAAGAGATCAAACACCAGCCCGCAAAGCCTCATGCCAAAATCCAAGTGTGACCCAGAGAGCGGGGATTCGGGGGAAGGAATCAAACCTGCGCGAAAGCCGTCTCTCGCCAGCGGAACTGCAGTTTCGAGGTGATCCCAAACACCCGGGCTTTGGGAGCTCGTCAGAAATGTTCAGCTGGGCTTTCTCCAGCAGCCAGGACTGGGCGGCCAGCACAGCAGACCCCTGCCTCTGCCAGCACAGCAAGCGCCGGCGGCCAACGTGCAGGGCGGGTTCAGTGCTCGTCAGTGACTTCGTCAAGGCTGCTGCTGCAGGTCGGCGATTCTTCACTAAGGAAAGCTTATTTGGCGAGGCCCCATCTGCAATGCTGTGTCCAGTGCTGGGCTCCCCAGTTCAAGAAAGATGAGGAGCTACTGGAGAGAGTCCAGCGGAGGGCTACAAGGATGGTGAGGGGACTGGAGCATCTCTCCTACGAGGAGAGGCTGAGGGAGCTGGGCTT